TGGTCAGATCATCATCTTTCATTTCACTTTGTGCGTAGCACGCACTTCGTAGTTCATCAACTTTCTTTTGAAGAGTTTGAATGTTTTTTTAGTTTAACTTTAAGTTCAACTAAGTCCACATCATTATTTGCAGTTTGCACAAAAGTTTCGAATCTAGTTATTTTCCCCTTTAGGGATGCTTTGCTTTTCATTAATATATCCATACCGCTGAAGTAGGCTCCAGGGTCGACGGAGCCAGATGAATAAACTTATTTTTCTTAAAGGTTATTTTTTATCGACGGACCAGCTTCACTGCTTCGTTTTTTATTCTTTTATTTAGAAAAACATCATATACAAATATTTACAGTGAAGCAAAATACAATTTAATTGTGAGCTTCGGTTACAAGTAATTGCTCACGTCATCGTTTGTTTACATTTTGATAGCAGTGCCAAAAAGATTATTATATGAGTTGTATTTTTGTTGCTATGAGATTACAACACTGTAATGTGGTAAATTTAATATAAAAAAATGTAGTGATTTGTTTTCCCTAGAGAGAAAAAGTATTATTCCTTCTTGTGTTAACTCCGTAAATGTGTATAAATATTAAGTGCAGAGATTTTTAATAAATGTATTCTTAATTTAAAAACCCTTTATAGAAAAGCTGTTGTAATTATTAATTCGTTATTTCATGTTCGTTATATATCCCTTTTCTGCAGCTAACACAGTAAATTTACAGTCTTTATAAATCAGTCTGAAAAAGTCAAATTTATTTTTGAAGTTGGATTAATATAGATTTGGAACAGAGAAATAAAGATACGTATTTTAAATTGAATAATATTACTTTAATGAATATTGCTCCTTCATTGATGTGTAACATCTTTTGTACCTTTGCATAAACATAGTGTTTGCCAGGGAAGGAAATTTATTATCTGATATACGTGTATCAAATTCAGCGACAGTACTGAATGCAGTTTTTCTTTCATTTAAGGCAACAGAATCTTAGAAATGTAAAGACATGGACATTAACATGGAAATAACATAACATTCGCAAAGGAAATATTTTCCACAATGCGAAAGGAACAGAATGCAACAAAATTAATTATAATATACTTACTAGTACATAATGCCTTTACAGTTGAATTGAGAACGTAGTGTTTTGTTTTTTGCACTAAATTCAGGAACTCAGATATTTATATAATTCAAGTTCTTAAGATTGCTTTTGATATTAATAGCATCTTTGAAAGATTTTATAATTTTATTATTCCATGAAAAAGGAAGCCATCTGCAGAACACTGCAGCTAATTTTTTTTTCGTTTCAAAGAAAACAAACTATAATTTTCACACTTCCGTGTCGCTCATGCGTGTCATTCAACGAAAACAAAACCGTAAGAATCCTGCCTAACGTTTATTATGCTGAGAGAAGATGTCATTCGAAAGTATGCCCAATTACAAGTAGAGAGTTTTCCCTATGCGCGGTAGAGAATGCTTATATGCATCCCGGAGAAGGTATAGTTGTAACTGTCCGTGCCTTCATTAGGAGGCAACGATGGCCACCTATTATGTGCTTCCATAATAAAATGGCCAACACTTGGAGGCAAGGCTAGTGGCTATTAAATAAACCGCCAGGCCATTAAAAAAAAAAGCATTTTATGCCTCGTTTACGTATTTCAAGCGAGGAATTTGCTGAAATGTAAATAAACCATACTGTATTCAATCAGCTGTCAATTCTGATGATAAACGCTGTCAGAATCCACTGAAAACTGCAGGTTCTGTTATAATTTTGTTTATAATAATAATAATAATAATAATAAAACTTCCTTACATTTCCTTGCTTGCAAGGATTTATGGTGATGTCTAACCTTTAAAAAAAACTGTATCTAGACGGAACACAGTTTATTTTTGCTTACACTTTACACTTTTAACTTATATATCACATTAAAAAAAAAATTGAAAGGAAAAAAAAATATATTTAGATGCTATTTTGTGAGTACTGCAGTACACTGTCTACTTATTTGTGGCTGTAAAAATAAACTGATGGGTCAGAAGGCCTAATGCTTTTCTAGATGCTTGTACCAGGGAAAAGTAGAAATGTAACTAAATAACTGTAGCAAGTACGCCAAAAACAAAGTAGAAACGTTATTAACCCCTTCGAGCCGGGTAGCGAAAACGCGCGCCTATCGCGGAGGCCGGCAGTGTCTTCCGCGAACGTCTCTCCAGGGCCGGGGGCTTTTTTGCTACTAAGCCTAAATCCATGAAATTTCCGAAGTATCAACGCATTGTTTAATAATGCTCTATAGAGTATTTAAACGGCTTATGCTTTATAGATATTTATATATATATACAGGGGTTGGGCAAAAATATGGAAACACCTTTAAAAAACATGTTTCTTTACTTAATATGGTGTAGGAAACCCGTTGCCATCCAAAAGAGCTTGCAGTCTTCTCGGAATGGATAAATACAGTTCCTGTATGTTTGCCAAGGGAATATTATACCATTCTTCCTGCAAAACGGTGGCAAGTTCAAATAACAATGTTGGCGGTAGATAACGAGAACGCATTTTCCATTCCAATGTAGACCACAAAGGTTCGATAATATTCAGGTCTGGTGACTGTGGTGGCCAGGGGAGATGGGACAACTCATCCTCGTGCTCAGAAACCCAGTCCTGGACAATGTGAGCTGTGTGAACAGGGACTTTGTCGTCTTGGAAGACACCATCACCATCGGAGAACAAAGTTTGTACCATGGGATAAACTTGATCGGCCAAAATGTTCACATAAGTCTTGGCAGTCATGTGCCCTGACACAGTTATCATGGGGCTAGCAGAGAACCACGATATAGCTGCCCAAACCATAACAGAACCCCCGCCATGTTTCACTCTTGGCAACAAGCAGTCTGTATTATAAGCTTGAGATGGCGTTCTCCAGACGTAAACTCGGCCAGAAGTGGGAAACAATGTGAAAGAAGACTCGTCAGACCATATTACTCGCTTCCACTGCTCTATAGTCCAGGCTTTATGACTTAAACACCACCTTTTCCTGTTACGGGCATTAGCATCACTGATGAGTGGCTTCCCAATTGCAGCACGGCCAGCAATTCCCTGTTTATGAAGCTCCCTTCTAATTGTTTCGGTATTCACAGGGTTCGGTAACACAACATTCATTTCAGCAGTAACTTTTGCAGCTGTGGTCTTCTTATTTTTCGTCACAATTGCCCTTAATGATCGTCTGTCACGATCACTCAGGACACACTTTCGTCCGCGCTGTGATTTAGCAGATGATGTTTTTCCGCTTTTCAAATATGCGGAATAAATCTTCGATACAGTACCTCTTGAAACACTAAACACCTCGGCTACCTTGCTTACGGAAGCACCTACCATACGTGCTCCAACAATTTGCCCACGTTCGAAGTCTGTTAACTCTGACATAATGCAATGACAACCTCACATAACAGTACTCCGACAACAACTGAACTGTTTAGCACATTTAAGAAGTTGTATAGGTGGCGTCAGTAGTCAAAAACGCCAGCACCACCTACATATTTCATTAAAATCAATCTTTCTTTTCAAACATGCATTTCACAAGGTGTTTCCATATTTTTGTCCATCCACTGTATATATTGTATTTGTATATATACTTTAATTACCTTATTTCTTGTTTAAATGCATATTTTACACATTTTATTTTAATTACTCACCATTTTATGACTTTTAACATTATACATCTGAAAACTAAATATATTACCTAAAATTCTCTTTTCGTATGAAAAATTTGAAAACAGGGATCTACACACAGTCCTACGCTACATTCCTTGAACTCGTAATAACTCATTTGCCGTTTTCGAAGATTTTTCCAGGAATGTGAACAAACGAAGCATCGTCGTCTCATTTTTTTATCAGTCTCTTCTGAACAAAGTTTTGGAAAATGTCTTTCAGTTAATCTTTCAGAATCAATATCAGAATTTCAGAATCAATATCTGAAATATTTTGCATCATTTCTGCTATTTCATGCTCTGTTAAACATTTTCGACGCTTCGACATTGCAACGGTAAAAACAGAAAGAATTCACGTCTAACAAGATATAATTATTTTCTAAAAACTGAACTGTAAACCGAAATACTCAACGCTTTAGAGCATATAAAACTTCTACTTACAATAAACAACTACCACGTGCGAATAAAGTGCGATTTAAAGAGACGTCATAAATCACGCCATTCGGAAACATTTAGTTCTCCGTTTGTTTATATAATCAAAAACACGTGTATGTGAGTCATGCTTCTCTCATTTCGAGTAGAAGTTCTAATGTACATGTATCTGAAACCATATGGGCATACAGTGCCATCTTGTGGCAGAAATTATAGTTTGAAAAACGTTCCAAGGTATTGGCACAAATACGTGACATTCGGTAGAAAACGCAACAATGCTCTGGCTCGCCTGCGTGTCGGCCGGTAGATAAGTGCGTTCGTTGCTGGCACGTGGACGTGACAGTCGGCGCGAAGGGAAATAACTGTAGCAAGTACGACAAAAACACAAGTTAAATTGCTCTCACTAGTGGTACTTCTGGCGCCATCTAGGGAGGAAAAGAAATACTTTAAACTAAATTCCAAACACATTTTGGCCCTTTTAATAGCAGCAACCTCGAAACCTTATTACTGTAACCTTGGTTCTAGCGTATATTTATATATGGAGTTTGTTTTAAAATGCTTGTAAGCAATCGAATTGTAAAATACAGGCATTAAAAAATCGATTTTTAAAATTATTTAAAGGTATCGGACCCCTTAAGTAGAGAAAATATTTGTAACACTTTTTATATTAATTACTTTTTAAAACATTCTAATAGTAGATTATTTTCTTTAAATGTTAAATTGCGATCTGAAGTTAACGGTGGACAAATTCTTTTTATTACTTTACTTGGTGTCTTGCTCAGCGTAATTTGTAATCAAAACCCATACTATTTGCTTTGCATAACTTGAATATCGCATGAATGGATTTTTTTTACCATTTTCTGAATTTTCTTTCTTTTAGCAGGTGGTGCCATTCTTGCTGTGACTGAAATTTTCACACCAGTGAGTATAAACTATTATTGAGTTCTTAGAATATGGAAATAATTTTAGTAACTGAACAAGAACTTTAGCGACTGATCTCTAAAGCAAACGTCCACGGTTCCAAATGATTTTAGACTTCCGTGGCGAGAACTTTCTTGGACAGTTGATGTTTAATCATCTGAATATCATCAAATTTTCCTGAAAGTACCGCACTTTTTTAATTGAAGAAAATGCAGACAACTAAATACAAGTCGGACCTTTTCCCCAAAATAAAAACTTTCACGCCACACCTTTCGAATTTGAAGAAAGTACCAGCTACTTTAAATAAGTAGGCCGCTGTTTTCTAAAATACAAAGGCCCACCAGCGGCTGAGCGGTAGCGTCGCTGAACACTGGTAGTTCGGTCCGAGGTTCGAATCCCGCGAACGGGCTGGCTGCATGGGCGTTTTCGTGGTTTTCCCCATGTGTAACGTGTATACGAGCCAGTTTCCCTTATAACGTCCTCCACGAAGACATCCCTTCCTTAAGACAGATAGCCCTCGAGTGCTTTGCCGTAAACTAATAAAACCAAGTCTATAAAATACAAACTTTCACAAAGATGAGCTTTAAGAAATTGCCGCCACTTTGTACAAGTCTGCTGTTGCTCTCTAAATATAAAAACTTTCACAAAAGCATTGGAACGTGCTGAATTTGCATCGGTAATTTCATATATATCGGCCACTGTTCTCTAAAATAAAAAAATTCTTTAAAAGTACTCGAACATTTTGGATTTCAAAAAGCAGTCTCTATAGGGGTGTTGGCATCATTACACCGGCTCCCTTAGAAGATCTCGGGGAAAAATGATCAACTTCTATAGAGGTACTGGAGCATTTTATGTAGTGTTCTGATTCTTTCAAGTATATACACTGCTCGACATTAAAAATCTAACATTAAGAAGGAATAGTCAGAAATTTATGCAAATTTTAGAGTAGGCGCACATCACTGAGTTATGCGAATGATGTGAAATGCGCAGCTCTCCGACGCACGTGAAGTAAGATATAAAGGAAGGAACGTGCAGAATGGGCAATATTCGTGTCGTTATTTCTGCCAGACGAATTATAGAAGAAAGTTGGTTTTTGTACCTGAGGATACGTGTAATAGGAGAGAATGACAGGCCGCCGTCAGCGACGGCACTTTCAGCAGATAGACGATTTTACGAGGGGTATGGTGATCGGACTGAGAAGGGCGGGTTTGTCCTTACGTGAAATCGCAGCTGATACCCACATGGATGCGAGCACGATGCATCGGCTATGGCGAACATGGTTGGAACAAGGAAATGTGGGAAGAAGGAGGTGTGCAGGTGCAGCCAGAGTCACGTCAGCATGCGTGGATCGACGTATCCGCCGACAAGCTGTGACGGTCCCGCAAATCACTTGTACCACGATTCTGCAACATGTGCAAGATACCCTGGATGTTTCCGTGTCGACCAGAAGCATTTCCCGTCGATTGGTTGAACGTGGCCTGCACTCAAGGAGTCCGTTAAAAAGACTGCCATTGACCCCACAGCATAGACACCAACGTTTAGAATGGTGCCGAACTGGAGCGATGTGGATGACAGAATGGCGAAACGTCGTGTTCTAAGATGAGTCACGCTTCTGTTTATCCAGTGACAGTCGCCGCATACGTGTGTGGTGTCGACCTGGAGACAGATCTAATCCGGCAGTAACTGTGGAACGCCCCACCGCGCGACAACGTGGCATAATGGTTTGGGGCGCTATTGCCTACGATTCCAGGTCAACTCTAGTTCGTATTCAGGGCACTATGACGGCCCAATGATACTTGGATAATGTACTGCGGCCCGGTGGCAATCCCCTATCTTCCGGGGGCTGCCTAATGCAATTTTTCAGCAGTATAACGCCCGACCACACAGTGCTCGCATTTGCCAACATGCTCTGCAAGATATACAGATGCTTCTCTGGCCACCGTAATCTCCTGACCTGTCACCAATCGAACATGTGTGGGATGTGATTGGACGCCGTTTGCAGACTCTGCCCCTGCCTCCTTCAGAAGACGAACTGTGGCAAATGGATGAATGGGAATGGAAAGCCATCCCTCAGGACACCATCCGCACTCTTATTGACTCCATGCCTAGACGTGTTTCTTCGTGCATCGCTGTCCGCGATGGTCCTACATCCTACTGAGCCAACGCCGTTCTCGCTCTGTATTCTGACTAATCATTTTGAAATAAAGATCACTTATTGCTGCTTGCTGTCTCTGTCTTTTTATCAAATTTCATCACTTTCTGACCACTCCTTCTTGGTGTTGCATTTTCAATGTCGAGCAGTGTATTTTGATTCTAAAATGAAATTTGTGGCAATCAAAATGACAGGGTAAGAAGTGCTAAGATGTTAATGATGTTGCATTCTTATGCAGCTAGAACATCATTCTTCTAAATTATTACTTTAAAATTCCATTTTGTATTTTAATACTTTCTCTACGCGCTGAAATCTTGCGTTACTATCTATTATTATAGCAAAAGATTTTTTAAAAAAAATTAGATAGCTTTTCATTTATTGATACTACAATAATTCAAGAAAATTTATTTGCTTTATTTTAATCTGTTACTTTTCATGTTTGATCAAACTTTAAATGTACTACCGTAATTCCTTTACCCAGCTTTTTAGAGTTAGTTTCTGAAAATTCTTAAAACATTTGCATCATTTCCCCCTTCCTCTGTGGTATACAGAAGGCTTGTTTATCGGCAAAATGTGTCCCCTGGATTACTTTTATTTTCCTTCAGTGCATTCAGCTTTTATTTGCAATTTTATATTAGCATTCCATCCATTTTATTTTCCCTCGCTTTTATTATGTGAAAAGTATTTTGTGCCGATTCTTCGTTCAGCTACCTGACCGTGTGCAGCTGTTTTCACACTTATAAAGCTTTCCAAATATGTGATTTACATTGCTTCTATCATTTAGGTTCCTGCTGATTTTAACCTTATTTACTGCCGATGATTTCTATTTTTAGAAATCCAGGTCTATTGTTTGCCCCTCTCCTTCCTTCCTCACATATGCCTGTCCGGAAGTGCAGTCAAGCCTCATTCATTTATGGTGCCCCAGGGTTTTAAAAGGTATTGTCAGATTTCGGCTCGATGTCCGTCATATGTTGTAATGTTAATATTACAGCGCATTCTCATTGGAGCGTGGGTTTCTTTTAAAGAAATAATTCTGCAGTGATGCCTATAGTTTGCCCGCCACTTCTTTTCATTTGCTATCTTTTTAGTTCCTTGTACGAAGTAAAAAGGAAGTATTGTAATCTCGAAAAGTTTCAGGCAGCATATTTCAACGAAAATATCTCTTTTGACCGCTATCGAATACAATTTTAACGATGTTTTGGAGTGACAATCTCTACGTAAGGACAGAAAAAAAGTGTTCTCATTTTCCAAAAATGAATTATAAAACCGCTTTAAAATGATTGATTCACAAGAGAGTTTTCGTGGTGTCTGTACGTACGCAGGTATGTATGTATCTATCTTTCATAACCTCGAAAAATGATTAGACTCAGAACTTTGAAATTTAGTATTATAGGACTACTATAACATGTAGATTCTGCACCTCCCTGTATTGGTTGCAATCCGGCCGCACCAAACGTATATAAATATATATTCATATATATATATCCACTCCGTTACCCGGCTCAGTGATCTCAGTTTCTATACCTCTTATATATTTGTAAATTGTGCAATTTTTTGCTTTAAAAATGATATTTCTTAAATTATCAACAATTTAAAAGCTGCTTAAGTGCGGTTAAGCCTAATTTTTAAATAGCATGGCGCACATGTTTGTTGACATTTGAAACAGCAGAATAGTAGATTTGTTGCCAATCTACAGAGACTAAACTTTGCAACAACAAAGATAACGCCTTCGTTTATTATTGCGAATTAAATCATGCTTAATCCTTTCTGGAATTTTTCGCGGAAAATAAATGCTCAAGATTTACTTAATTCTTAATATAGATATTTTGAGTTTTTATGTATTTTTGACTTGTTGCGAAGGGAGAACTGAATTAATTGAATGAGAAATACTGAATAATCTGTGCAAAACTGCTTCTTTTTTGTTTTGTTTCCTTTTGTTTGTTTAATTTCTTTTATACATCGTTTTAGATTTATTATAATATTTGAATAGAACATGTGGCAACGATTAGATAATTCTTCAAATGATATACAATATAAATATACAATGATATAAATGCATTATGATGATTTATATGATTCTAAGTTATAATATGAACGAAATATAATGCTGTTAAGTGAATCCTAGCGGCCAGAATGTCGTTATAGGTAAACAAAATATAGTGAATTATAAAGAGTGCATTTATTCTATTGTGGTTTATGCGCTATCGACGAAGTAGATTTAATTCAATCCAATAAGTTTAAATGAAATGCAAGAAAAAATGTGTATAACTTAATATTCTGTACAAGGAAGTCATGTGGTGTACACATCAGTTTTTTTTCTTTCTTTCTTTTTTCTTTTTTTTTTTTTTTCTTTTTTTTTTTTTTTTTTGTAAGCGCGTTCTTAGAAAATTAAGTGACTCTCATATATTCCCAATCTCAGTTTTCGAACGATAAAATTAGTTTATAAGAAAAAAGCAAAATGTTCGAGGAAATACAGTTTTTAAGATAAAAACAGGAACAATAAAATGCTCAAACATATAAGCTAAAAAAAGGTAAGATAAAATATTTAAACACACAAGATAAAAAGGTAGCGTAAGATAAGAAAAGTAAAATAACGTATTAACTTCAATTTGCAACAGTCTATAAAGAAAAGTAAGATAAATACAGGTAAAAATATTTTTCATAAAGATGAGTGTCCCTTTGTGTCAATACACCGTTTTTTATAATGGCGCAGACAGTTTTATAATAATGCAGTGTTTTTCATAAAGGTATAGTTTGATAATTTACAAAATCATTAATTAAGAAGTATTTATTATAGTTTATTATCTTATTCAATTATTTAAAATTAGTAAATATATTAATTGCAATTTTCCCTGGCAGAATCTTTTACAAAGAGGTGCAACTTCTAAGAACTGGATCTGGAAGAGCAGCATGCTTTCCAGAACTCCAGAAATTCAACGACGCAGACGATTCCTGGCCGAAGAACCCTCCGAGGCATGGTGGAAGGATATGATTGCTCCCGAACATCCTTCATTTCATGATTCTCTGAATCCCTCAGAAAAATCGCACTTCACTAATGCTGATTATCCTCCACCTTTCGAAAATGCCCATATCATCCACGACTCCAGTCCAAAGACTAAAAGCGAGGCGATCACTCCAGTGAGCAACCAGGGACACCCCGATGACATTGACCAATCCCTCTTGCACAAGGCGATCATCGACGAATTCCACAGACCTTCCAAGATCGAATTCGAATCGGCTTCCCAGAGATTAAGAGAGGCCTCAGAGATAACAAGGAATTCGCCAACTAATTCGACGGGCTTGGGGAGAATATTGAAAAAGCACCACCAAAAGGATTCACTGTCTAAAGTGGAATATGTCATTCCTGGAGTGGAACACGTGGTCTCCCACGTGCAATATGCAAACAAAGACGAAGATGAGCCTCCTCCAGAAATCGAAACGGTCGTCCCACAAGTCCGCTACGTAGTTCCCAAAGTAGCCTACGTTGAACCAGAAACCGAGTACCAGGAAGAAAATCAGCAAACGTTGGACTCTTCTGAAAGAAGGCCAAGGTCCTTTTCAGATGCAGATCTTACAGATTCCTACGCGAACGAAAAGTTTCCGGAGGAATCAATCTCGATTGGGAGACAGAAGTTACCTGAGGTCGATTCTGCAACAAGTAGCAGAAGACGACCAATTCAAAGTCAAGACGAGGAGTCACTTCGATCGCCAAGCCACAGGAAACTACATGGTGCTGTCCGGAATCATGAAGATCAACTTCCTGCTGTAGAAAGTCTACCTGTCGAACAATTCCATTGTAGTGATGTTTCTTCGGCTGGCTATTATGCAGATATTTCATCTAGATGTCAGGTAAGTATATTTATATATATATAACTAAGAATGTCCGTTTGCTTGTGTGTGATTCATACAAATTTGCCTTATTATTTCGATCTTGATAACTTCAAAACAAAACGAAGGTCACTGTGTAGATAAGATTACTAAAAAACACCAAGATCATTCTAAAGGTTGTCCCAACAAATGCGCCGGATTTATTATGTCCAATAAAATACTTTATTTTCAGAAAATGAAAAATATTTTAACATACTCATAGCAAGTAAAAATGCTCTGATTTATGAATGAAAAGTTACACATGGCCATATGTCCTCTACGGCTTGCTTTGCCGTACCGCGCTTATTCGCAATTGCTTTTTCATGTATCTGCCTATCGAGGCAGCTAATAACGCATTTAATTTTCTCTTTAAGTTCGGATTTTTTTAGACTTGCAATAATGGTGTCATGGACAATAGTGTACTCTTGATTATCCGTAATAGCGATGCACACTCACGTACACTCAAAGTTATGCTCTAGAATGTAAAAAGCAAACATGCATTAGTCTGAGTTCTAAAACCCTGAACTGTGGGTTTAGATTTAGTTTGAACGATTACACCCACTGTACAATTTCACGCTCTGGGAAAAGTAAAGAATTTCACAAAATTACAGGAAAAGCTACATGCATTCGATGCCATACACGGAGTAGCAAAAGCTTGGTAGAAAGTAAAAACAAGAACACTGGTTCGGTCATCGAGAGCGATTCTTTCTAATACGGATATTGGAGACTTATCTAATTGTGAAGAGGTTATATTGTGAAGAGGCAATATCTGAAATTATATGCCAAAAATGGAAAATGTAAAATTTTTCGAAAATGTCGATTGGGAAAACCTCGAGGAATGCTTCGTTTGAGCCAGGCTTTCAATGCTTGCGTGATGCGGATATCGTTTTAAATATCACGACAACAGAAGAGGCAGACAGTGATGCCAAAAGTGCGGCCGAAGAAGGTACTGACAATTAATTCCCGGGACAATAATGACTTCTTTTGCAGCTTTATGGACTTAATCGACAAAAGGGGACTCAAATACAATGATGAAATAGCACTTCGAAAAGTAAGCAGTGAAATTCACTAAATATTTAGAGGTTCTCAGAAACAAAGTCAATTTACCGGGTTTTGTTTTTAGAAATAAACACATACAATATACACGAAATACATACAATATCCAATCATAAGCCGGATAATCGGGAGTACATTGCATTTTCCACAGACTGACTAGATCGAGAAAGTGGCCATTTAATGTCTGCTGTTGAACCTGAGTCCTCAAGTTTCTTTATTAGTCTACGAACTGCTGTTTCATTAGGTCCACTTTCATTCCCAAATATTGCACTAAACTTTCTAACAGTCTGTGTACAATATTCGCCATACTTTAAATGACTTTTCGCGTTCAAACTGTGAAATGACCTGATAGTGATGAAATGCTAGAGTTGCCAGGTCAAATCATACTCGACATTCTTAAATCGGAACATTTACTTGTTGTAAGTAGTAATAAGATATTCATGTTTCAAATTTAATTAGAACACTTGGCAATAGGAAAAAAGTGTGTTGCCACTCGCCAAAACCCTGTATATTTATCTTTTGAATTTAATAGACAAACTCAATAATTTAAAAGCATATTGCTGCCACTTTCAGAATTAATATATTTTTATCTTTCACGCGGCAGGGTGTCATCGTTCGGCACAGCGTGAGTTTCAGATTTACCTGTTATTATCAAAATTATGTGATTTAAAATCAATTGATGCAGATTCATTAAAATTATTATACATTACTAACTGGATACGTGAACTACAGGGTTTATTAAAATCATATATATATCATTATAAGGGCACAGCCCTGATCCTCCCAGCCGACCGCATGATCAAAAAATGAAACTGGCCAGAAACATATACAGTCGGAAAAACATATACAGTCAAAAATCGGAGTTTCAGTGCCGAATTCCAATTCTATCTTTGTTCGTATTTATAATCTTCATTATTGTCTTTGAAAAATCTTTCAAATTTCAATAGCTCTTTTTTTAAATAAGATTCACACAGCTCTACAGTTTTATTAGTATCTTGAACGAAATTCCAAGAACTTGATCTTCAGAACAAGAGGAAAGTTACTGTCTATATAAAATTTCGGAAAACCGCCCAACGGGTTTCGCAAGCCGTTTATGTGAGAACGTTGCCGTCACGACGACTAATTTGCGTACATGTCAACCATCTTAGATTTACGTTGTCGTTGCTCCTTTCTGTTAGTGGAAGTCATACGTGCTAAGTACGGAATTTATATTTTTTACAAAGAAATAAATATTAATATTTGTACACTGTTTCAGTTTTTAAATTACGTCATCCATCTGAAAGCTCACGTCACCTTCCCACTACCAGTTCAGAGTAAAATCATCAGATGGCATAATATTTGTTAATTTTTTTAAATAGTGTAGAACTTTTCTGAATAGTGTAGCAAATTTAAACCAGAATTTAAGCGAGCTGTCTATTAGTTTTTCGAAAACAGTTAAGAAATCAACCACCGTGGATGGGTGTCTTCCTTTTTCCGCGATTCCTGTTTCCGCAGCTGTCAAAATCCATAGACCTTATAAGAAACAGACTAACCCAAATGGGTTTTTCTCCCTCGTCTGAGGCGTTCCCGGCTATCACCTTGATCACATCCGGAGGAGTAGGGACGACTTGCAGAAATTTAACAGTGTTTGCCTATTGCAGCGTCTATAATTGTCAAGAAAAAGGTGGTTGTAGCGCCTCATTTCACAAATTAGAATTTCTACATATTTTTATTTTTGAAATTGAGATTGATTTTTAAAAAATTTAGCATATTTATCAAGCATAATTAACGTTCCAAATAATTATAAAGCTACTGCATGCTTTCAGGGCTAGATATTTTTTTAGCTTTTCCTATGCTGTAAGGAAATTTGTAACTACTTCTTTTAGAAAATAATATTTTAAATCTGAACTAATAGAAAATTTCAAACAAGCAATTTTTTCTTGCAATTTTTATGCTTTTTAATGGTGTAAATAAGTAAAAAATACTAAAATATTTAAAAACGAATTTTTGAAAGTTTTTTTATAATTCTAAATACATCACAGTGATAAACACTTTTGACTCCTTAATAATTTTTATACATTTAATTCTAATATTAAAATTGTATTAAACCGTAATAATTAATTTTGCTTGTATTTTATAGTGATTATTTTTTTAATATATTTTTAGTTCTGCATAAGATTTTTTTTATTTACTGTTAATTTAATTTATTAGCCCAAAGGGGCAGTAGCCTAGAAAGGCTGTTAGTTTCTAAGCGGCATTTTGCGCTGTTTTACTATAAATGTCCGTGTGTCCTTGAAAATTGTTGTTGCCAAATATTATCCCCCTGTATTATATCTAAAGAAATTAAATAATGAAGAATCTGCATGAATACATGTATGTTTCTAGCACTGTGACAAAAACGACAGTATCTAGAGCCATCAAATTTTGAATAATGTAATCCTCACCTGAACATGGGCTTCTGGACGGCCGAATTTCGAATTTGTTTTAATCTATTTCGTATTTTGTAAAACTTTAACGAATTTTTGATTAACAAACTCAACGAGTTCAGAGCGAGCACTGTATGGAAAATAACAGTTTTATCTCCAGTGCGGAAATTCTAAAGATATGCTGTTTTCAAATGTATGGGGGTTTACGGGCGAAGAACGTCATATTCAGTAAATATAGGTAACACACAAAACGTTAAAAAAAAGGTTCCTTTTGGGCGTAATATAAAATCTGAGTGCTTCTAGACTTTATTTTACCTTATTTTTTTCCTTCATTACACTCAGAAAATTTTATGCTCCGAATTTTATAAGTTACTAAAATAAATATTCCACTTTAGTAAGTTAATGATGATATAATCAAATAAATGATTGTTTTGTAATGTTATTATAGTTTTGAAAATCCCTTCCTGAAAATAGTCATTAAATTTAAAAAAAAATATCAGATCTTGTTTAATTTTATCTTATTTATTTCAAAGCATCACGTACTATAAATCTTATTTAATTTTACGTTATTTGTAAGCAAAATTAAGTTCGTAAATTTTGTGCTTAGAGTTTTTACCGTTTTACCAAGGTAAAGATGTTTGTACAAAAATTACGCGTGAAAAAATGCGCGAAATGCAGTAAAAAGTGCTTTAATGAGATATATTAAATCCTATTTGGAAAAAACTGTGGCTATCATAATGTCATTACTATACAACGTATCACATTTAGTAATTAAAAAGAGTTTTGTGATACAAACGCCATAGGTTTCAGTGTTAAATTAAATCAGATCGTCCCTACTCTTTCCTGCCGACATGTCGGTGACGCGCGCCCCGCCATTGGGTTAGTCTTTTATAAGGTCCATGTCAAAATCATTCCTGTTTTCGCGAAATCATCAGTCTTCATTACCCCCCCCCATCCCAAAGAGGAACATAGAGGGGACCGAGTGGACCTTGTCCTCTCCCGAAAGGTAAAAAAGCAATTTTTTTTTAAATTTATTAAAAAAAAAAAAAAAAAAAAAAAAAAAAGAATTTTAAAAAGAAAGAATCAAAAAATATTTACGATCTCAGATCTTTGCATAAATGAAGATAATACTGTATTTAAAAGGAGAGAGATGTTCAAAATCTGCGATGATTTTGGCAATGAATTAAAAGATTGTTTCCTAAAGTAAAAAATCTGATGTGTACACCATATGACTTCCGTGTACGGAATATTAAATTAGACGCATTTTTTCTTGCATTTCATTTAAACTTATTGGATTGAATTAAATCTACTTCGTCGATAGCACATAAACCACAATAGAATAAATGCACTCTTTAAAATTCACTACATTTGTTTACCAAGCGTCACTCAGGCGCTAGGTTCTCTTAACAGAGTTATATTTCGTTCATATTATAACCTTACCTTTACCTTCACTCGCATTTGGTACCAACTACTGTGAGTTATCACCAATAGATCAAGTATGCCTTAGGCCTTTCACGTTTG